ATATATATTGTCACAAGAATATCAGAGCGCAAATGCGAAAAAAAAGAAAAGAAAAAAAGGAAGACAAACAGGAAAAAATGAATTCAGTTTTTTATCTTCTTCCTTACAAGACTCCCCCTGTTCAGAACCTCCTCTTGCGTACAAGGCCCCGCCCACGTATATATAGTTGGCAAGAAAAAGGGGAAAAAGTGAGCCTGGCAATGGCACGCTCACACTAGAACTTTTTTACGCATTTTTGGACGGAATTGCGGCCAGATACATTAAGGTATGGCCGTGAATGCGGTCATATACGTTTGAGATACTGGTAGTGTGAGTACACGCCCTCAGTGTTGGTACACCGAGGAACAATTGAATTGAAAAACGTGGGAGAGAGTGGGACACCGTGTGTCAAAGTGGGACACAGTGTTGGTACACTTGGGCCAACTGTTGAATTGGGCTTAAGTTTTCGGATTCAATTACGATACACGGCCGATCAGTTCAATGATATGGTATCTCAAGGCCATCGCCCTTTTATTAAGGGAGAACTACCGTCTTCCCCCGAACATAACGCACCCTCATTTTGCCTGTACCGGACCGGAAAGATAGCTCGTATACATTCATGATCAGGGTGCGTTATGTTCGCGGGAAGACGGTAGGAGAGAAGGGGAAGGGCGGGGGGGGGGGGAAGAGAACAGTTCAGGATGCAAGAAGGGAAAGCACGCAACAAGAAGGAAGAACGGGGAGAAAGTGAGAGAAAGGGCACAGCGCCCTCGCCCTCCAACTAGAACGACCGTCTTCACCCGTACGAAACGCACCGTCGTTGTAGCTGGACAACTTGCAGTCCAGATACACAGCGATTATCGCCAAGGGCTCTATTCGTGTGAAATTGTAGTCCAGATACAGAGCGATTATCAGCAAGGGTTCTATTCGGATGAAGACACGGTAGAGTGTAGAAAAATCGACACCACGTATGCTATTTCTCCTCTCTCCAAATCGACACCACCCTTTAAAAAATAAAAAATAAAAAACCAACACCACCTGGGTTGCTCTACCCTGTCGAGGGAACAGCAGTCCTGAAAAAAAAAATCCTCTACTTGGAAAAAAAGTCCGTCTCCAAAATTTATATCAGCAGCTCGCTAACGACGGGGGGGGGAGGAGAGGAGGGGGGCATTGCAACCCCCCTTTTGATGAAATGAGAACGAGGGGGGGTTGACAGACAGAGTGCTAGCGGCGTGTGACAGTCGCAGCTGCTGACCGATCGATCAGTCACACTGCAAATGGGGTAATGGTGCAACGCCAAATGGTGCAAGGCCACACCTAACCAACACGTGCAACACCCTTTCCCGCCCAAAACCAAAATGGCGGCATTATGCATCTGCCGAGGAGGCAGAAAGAAACCCGCAGGCCTCTCTCTACAGGCCAGCATATCAATTCGTCTGTCTATATATCTGTCTCTGCCTCGTCTCGCTGACTCACTCACTCACTGGCTGGCTGGCTGGCTGGCTGGTTGAATGCCTGTCCGACGTGTCCGTGTGTCTCGCACTCTGTATGTCTATATTCTTGTCCGTCTACTCTTTCTGTCTGTTGGTCAGTCTGCTTTTCTGTCTTGCAAGTCTGCCTCCCTCTGTCTATCTGCCAGTCTCTCACCCCTCATTTCTTCATAAGATTGAATGAATCACAGAGATTCTTGGATTTCTTCATAAGCTTGAATGAATCATGGAGATTCTTGGACAAGAGAATGAAAAAAGGACGACATCTCTCTCTCTCTCTCTCTCTCTCTCTCTCTCTCTCTCTCTCTGTGTGTGTGTGTATGTGTGTGTGTTGTCATATTCGCTATACACTCAAAAAAAAAAA